AACCTGTGTAAGATTCAATCATAAGCATTCACATTTCGATGATCTGAAATCTTTTTTATTCATTCTTTAGGAAGCTGAAACATTTACCTTGTGAAAATTGAGATTATCATCGAAAGGAACAACAGCACTTAACTTGGTTTTGGTCCGGAGCCAAGTAACTGTGCTCCTACAAACCGGTAACAAAATTATAGCCATGTTTAGTTTAAGTGTCTCTGCAGCTCCTTTAGCTATACAAACACAAAGTCCCATAACTTGGTAAGCAGATCTCTTCTTATACTGTAAGAACTTCCACGCGAACAACCCGGCCATAACACCTATCCACAAAGCCATGACCCACACTCTCTTCCAATTATCCAACACAAAATACTTTATCCCGCTATAAAACCACTCCCCGAGATTCCTACTTGCCGATCCCTTGAGCTTCTGACTTAGCATCTTGCTTAGGTGCTTACTCTCCCCGTCTCTCGTAGCCTCCATCGGCGCTTGCAACAGCAGTACCTTGAGATCATCTACCTGTTTTGAATTGTTAGCAAGTGCCTCCAAACACATCAAAAAACACTCACAACAACTATATATAAGATCAATCGAAACGAACCTCGTTTACATACCATGATGTGCCCATTACTATAGGGATCTAGTGTTTCCATAATCAAAGCAGCATATTCATCTGCTTGTTTCCTAATGTTATCCAACTCGTTTGCAGAAGCACTTAGAGTTATAATCTGTACATTAAGAAACAAAACCACTTTATAAAGAGCTTCAATAATTCTAATACACATCACTAGAAGAATCGAAACTCTACCTCTCTTACTTCGCCTTCGTTCAACTTCCCATCCGCATCCTTATCGACCCTGCAGTTCATACCACACTCCAAACATGAGACTTGAAAAGTTCATGTCCGATATATTGAAAGAGAAACGGTTTCAAGAAACATTATTACATAGCGAAGAAAGTTCGTAGCCTCGAATCAAAATCTTGATCAGTAATCTGCTTCCAAAACTCTTCAAGCTGATTCTTGTTTATTGAATCTCCACTTACGTTTTCCCGCCTCGCTAAAGCGTCGAATAATGCCAAGGCAAAATCCTTCGAATGAATCCCTGCATCAATAAAATTCACCAAAATCGAAACTTTTTTTCAACTTCGAAAATCGATTGATTGAAAAACTCGATTTTTTTTGCTGCTAACCTATACATTCACCGAATCTAGAACGGTGCAAGAATCCATTGCTAGTTTCGGTAATCGCATCGAATCGTTCAACCACACCAGGCCAGCCAGTAACACCATCAGTCTTGGTGATGAATTTGAGACCTTTGAGTGCTATCTCTGCTCTAGATTTCGAGCGGCGAAACCGAGCTAGAGGCGGTCTAGGTGGGTTTCTCGCCGAAGAAGCAACTCGTTTAAGTTCGTTAGAAACAGAAGACGTTATGCGTTTCAAAACAGAGTTACTCCTAGACGAATGGCCTGGTCTCAGAAGCGATTTCCCTTGATCCTCTGTTAAGTCCGGTGACTCTAAACCGTAAACGGAGACAGAATCATCGTGGATATCGAGCGTGATCTCCACGTAAGGTTGATTTACGCCGTAATAATAGCTCGGAGTCGCCGTCGTGTTCTTGATATTCGCCGATGATTGTCCTTTGTACGGCGTCTCTGTGTCGCTTTGGTAGCTATATCTCGCGTTTTCGAAACCTAGCTTTTGCATTTCACTTTGATTTCTTCAAATATTTTCTTTAACCCCTGGCTTTTTATGCATCT